GCTGAGACGCGCATTGGACCCGGTCGGCCTCCAAACGTACGCAATCGCAGAAAAGACGACAAAGTAGAGCGAGCCGAGCCAACCGTCCATGAGCAGCCACCTGTAAGGCCACGCTTCTGCTGCCGACTCGCCACCCACGCGAGCAAAGGCTACAGAGGACATCACAAAGCTGTCGTCCCCCCCCCCTTTCCGCGGTCAGCCCATCGCGCGCGCTCAACTTTTTTTTTTGCTTTCTCGCTAACACTTACAATATGCCAATGGCAACAACGGCGCCCAGCAAGATGCGATACAGCTTGGTGAACATGTTCTTTTTGAAAGCTGCGTGGCGCGTGGGGGTAGAATGAATCAGTCTTGAGCCACGCTGCCCCTGCGACATTTGCAGCTCACTCTGTTTGCGCGCCGTCAAGTGCTCAATGGTGCCGTTGAGCGCATGCAGTGTCCACATCATGAATGTGCTGAGCGTGAAAGCCAGGGGAAAGATGAAGAGGAAAATGAATGCGCCTCCCGAGTCGATGAGGATGCTGTTCGAATGGATGGCAAATCAGCACCATTGCTCGCTGTGCCATCTTGGCGCAAACGTATCACGGCTCACAGGACAATGCCCACGCTGTAGAGCACGCCGCAGACAAAGTGTATGCCCGTCAAAATTTGAACGCGCCGCATGACTGGGCCGATGGACGGTCTGACGACGCTCAGTCCCATGCTGACGCAGAGCAGAATGGCCAATGAAGCCGACGTCTTTGTAGCATCCAGCACGGATGTGAGTACGAGCAAGAAGCGCGCCTAGTAGGGAGTTGCACGCCAAGTGATCAGCTCCGGAAGCCGGATGAGCATTGGCCGCCTACACTCACAGTGCCAGTCACGCTGCTCTTTCCCTCCAGACTGCTGATGCTCCAAAAGTCTATGATGTGCGTGTTCAAGAACCGCTGATAGCCCCACGTGGCTGCTGTCGACACGACCATGAGGCCCAACAGCCCAGAGATAAAGTACTGCACCATCAACAAGCTGCAGTGGAAGGTGCAAAGCGTCAACGACCTAAGCGCAGCGAGTGCGGATGATTGCAGCTTCTCACTCGTCCCTATGCTTGACGCAGAGGTAGCCCCAGTAGGCACCAAGCAGGATGTATGCGCATGTCAGGGCAAAGTAGAACTGCATGGGAAGCAGCGAGCGTGATGACGGTCAGATTGCACGCTCCGTGCAGCTGCGACTAT